TCTTTACAGAGTTTCAAAATAAAAGTCATCCAATCATTTAGCTGAGTTCTGCTCATTTTATTCTCTTTATTGAACCTTTGACTGAAATAAAAAATGGGAGCATTTAATAAATAAACTGATCAAATCAGTTGTTTGTTTCCTGAAGCTTTAAGACAAATAAACAAAACAATAAAAGATTTTAATCCTAAAACTAAATAAGTGAAACTCAGTTTGTCTGGTTTGGGTTTAAATCTGTTTTTTCATGGAATAAAGAATAAAAACTGATTTCAAACTTAGAATTGTCACATTAAATATAATAAACCTCAGAAAGTTTAAAACACAAATCTGTTTATTTTTAATAAAAAACTGAGACGTTACCTCTGAACTTCTTAGGAGGGTTTTCAGAGTCTCCAGCAGCCGGTTCAACAACACACCGATCATCCACCAACCTGACACCAAACACAAACAAATACATTTATTTTACTTACATTTTGCTTTATAAAATTTATTTAACACAGWGCATCTATATTTTATTATTTTCTGTCTCCTAAAACAACGTTTTAATTTATTTCTGAAAAGTGTCGACAGTTAATTATTTCACAGATTTAAATTAAAATAATAATTATAAAATCACGTCAACACAACTTTTATTTTAATATTTCTACTTTGGAGAGTTTGTGCAGCAGAACCAGTGAGTCCGGTCCAGTTCAGTGGTCCGATCTGGTTCTCAGGATCTCATCTGGCCCAGAGGACCAGGGAGATCTGGGTCAGTTTTTTCTCTGCTGGATGGTTTTCAGACTATTTAAGGAGCTGCTGGTTGAATCCTGCAGCTGCACAGTTTAAGGTTCATTAAACGCTCAGAGTCCGGACCAGAACCGATAACTGGACCCTTCAGTTCCATCTGGTCCTGGGCGTGTGTGGACCAGAACAAACACGTTCAAATGCTTTACTCCTGCAGGTTCACAGGCCCATTACTGGCCCATTCACAGGCCCCTTCTCTGGTCTGTTCACTGGTCCATTACTGGCCTGTTCACTGGTCCATTACTGGCCTGTTCACTGGTCCATTACTGGCCTGTTCACTGGTCCATTAATGGCCAATTAACAGGCCTCTTCACTGGCCTATTCACAGGCCCTTTCCCTGGTATGTTCATGGGTCCATTACTGGCCTGTTCACTGGTCCATTACTGGTCTGTTCACTGGACCTTTCCCTGGTCTGTTCATGGGTCTATTACTGACCTGTTCACTGGTCCATTACTGGTCTGTTCACTGGCCCTTTCCCTGGTCTGTTCATGGGTCTATTACTGACCTGTTCACAGGTCCATTAATAGCCTGTTCACAGGTCCATTACTGGCCTGTTCAATGGTCCATTAATGGTCTGTTCACTGGTCCATTACTGGTCTGTTCACTGGCCCTTTCCCTGGTATGTTCATGGGTCCATTACTGATCCATTACTGACCCATTTACAGGTCCATTACTGGCCTGTTCACAGGTTGTTGTGGAGTGGTTGGGGGAGTCATCCTATAACTGGTGGTTGCTGATTCGTTGTGTTCTTGGGCAAGGCACTTCACCCACCTTGCCTACAGATGGTGGTCAGATGGTGGCGCCGGTGCATGGCAGCCCCGCCTCTGTCAGCCTCAGGGCAGCTGCGGCTACAACAACAGGTGTGCTAAAGCTAACCCTGCTGCAGGAGGTTCGGCTGCTGTTTTACATGGTGATTAAAGCCAAACCACAGTCTGTAAACAAATCAGACGTCTGCAAATGTTCATGTAAATTTAGTTTCTGAGGCTCATGGGTCAAACAGGAGCTTTACTCAAAGCAATAAAACCAGGAAACAAACAGCCACTATCAGCTAAAATGTTTTACAGCTCATTCAAGAAAACAGTTTAAGATAAAAGAAAGATTTGTTTTTTTWATTTCACTTTGATTTGTCTTGATTTGAGTTTTTTCACAGGTTTTAACAACAAAGTTTGTTTATTATTGTTCGTCAGAGTTTTTAGATTTTAAATAATTTATAACTTCGGCTGTTTGGAGATATTCAGCTTAATGTTTGAGACTCTTATTGTGAAGGATCAAAACAAGTTCTGTGAGTTTTAATAAAAACCTTTGACAGCTTCAGTTTTAATCTTATCATGGATTCAAAGTTGAAAACCAATATCGTTACTAACAACAACAACAACAACAACAACAACAACAACAACAATAATAATAATAAAGTCAGTTCAGGAGCAGCTTCCTCTCAGGGTTTGTTTGAAAAACTTCAGATTTTACTCTTCAGGACTTTTATTTTCTCAGAACTGAAACTTGTTTCTGAAGCACCACACCTGTTAAACGAAGCTGAAAAACAAAGTTTTCGGCCTCACATCAGGTTTTTTATAGGAATTCTTTCTGAATTTCTTGAAGCTGAGCAGCCAATCAGAGGCTGTCGTGCCTCCAGGTGTGTACAGGTGTGTTCCTGTGTGTCTGCTGATTGCTTCACTCAGGTGTGTTGACTTTAGAGGTGTGCTGACAGAAATCATTTAGCTTTAGCTCACCTTTAATTTACCATAAAAACACAAGTGTGGGTTGAGAGAAAAGTCGGTTTGTTTTTTGTTTTCCTGCTGCAGGTTTGACTTTATGAAAATCACCGGTCGTCAGCTGACTGGTAGTTTTTATTCAAACGTCTCTGAAAACAAACAAAGCTTCAGCAGGAAGCAGGAAGCACATGAGAACAAAATAAACTTATTATAAAAGACAAAGATTAGAGTGAAAGTTTGTTTTGACTTGAAGACGTTAACTAATGTTTGACTTAAAGGTGGAGGATCAGGAAGGATGTTGACTTTTCTCTGCTTCAACAAAGAAACGACACGAATGAACGACTGAGTGAAAAATAAGAAAGAAAAGAAAAAATAACATTTAACGTTTAACCAGCAGGTGAATCAAAGAAATTAAACCAAATGTTTCATTTAATTCTGCTTAAATACAATTAATAATGTGAATGAAATAGAAAAAAATAGTATAGGTCTTCTGGACGGGTTCTTCTCTAATGAAACGTTTCGTCTCTCCTCCAAGAGACTTCTTCAGTCTGAGAGTTTCAGGCTAAATTCAGGCTTTTAAGCCCTGCCTCCATGTGACTGATACTCACATCACATGGCTATCGTTGACACCTAATTAACACCTATTGTTAACAGGGGGTGGAGTGATACTGGCAATAGCAGCGCTGTAGGAGGGGGACAACTGAAAACGGAGGCCTCCACCTCTGTTTAATGATGGACGGTCTTTCTTCACAAAAATGGCTTCTTTTACTCCTCTCTCAAACCAACGTTCCTCTCTATCAAGAATGAGAACATCCTCATCTCTGAAAGAGTGACCGCTGGCCTGTAAATGAGTGAAAACTGCAGAGTTCTGGCCATTAGATGTAGCTCGTCTGTGTTGGGACATTCTTTTGAACAGTGGRTGCTTTGTTTCCCCGATGTATAACTGGTCGCAGTCCTCCTGGCACTTAACAGCATATACAARATTGCTCTGTTTGTGCCGGGGCACCGGATCTTTGGGGTGAACCAGCCTTTGCCTCATGTGAATGCCTCATAGCCATACTGTATATAGCATTATACAACATAATATCATTTTATAGCCTCAGAAATTATTATATAGCATTATATCATTATATATTATTATATAGCCTTATTTAGCCATATAATAGCATTATTTAGCATTATATAATTATATAACATTATAAAACCTTTTAAAGCATTATATAGCCTTATATCATTATATAGCATTATATAACATTTATAGCATTATTTAGCCTTTTATAACTGTATATAGCATTATTGAGCTCATTGAATTTTTTTCAACGCATCACAATCTGTGTCCAAATTTCAACTTGTGGCTGCTACCTTCAGCTTGTTCTTATGTCAGTTTTTTTATTATTATTCTACTTTCTACTGTTTTCTGCTGGTAAAAGTTTTTATGCCCATTTCAGCTTTTCAAAATTAACCTGCTTTAACTGTTTCAACAAGAAGCATTCACACTAGCACGTTCAAAAGAAATGTACTTTCTCTAGTATCTATTTTACTCTGATAAAACCTGATCTAATATTTATACTCTGAATAATCTGTCTGGATCCCAGTTTGATTATAATCTCTTCACGCCTGTTAAAGACGAAACCTTTAAGCGTTTTTAGAGTTCAYGATTTAAAAGTAGCTTAGTTAGTGCAGAGAAAGTAGCTCAAATTTAAGGCTTTTCTGCTCAAAACTCTCGTTGGTTCTGTTTGAAACGTGCTTCAGATCCTTCTGTAGACTTTTATTTCATAGATACAATATTCATTCATCAGATTTGACTGAATCCACGTGACAAAAGTTTAAACCAAAGCTGTGTCGCTGCCTGTCCTCCACAGGTTTACAGTAACTAAGTACTGTAGCGTGTTCAGAGTTAGATTGTTACCGTATCATTTCTAGAGTTGTACATTTTCATAWAACAGCTTGGGAATGAGATGTTCACGTGAGTTTTACGTGAGAGAGGAGGAGCTAGGTGGAGATATAAAAAAGGGAGAGAGCGTCTTTTTTTGCTGTGGTGTGTGTGTGGGGTTTTGGGCTCTCTGTACGGCGTGGCTGCGGCCTACAGCAGCTCCTAAATAAAAGTGGTTCTTGAGTTTATCAAAGGCTCATCTTGACATACATTTTCACGCACAACTAGAAAGCGTTACAGTACTTTTACTTTGTTACAATATAAATTTAAATCTAACTGAACTCATCATGAGAGGAGACAAAAATCAAGAGTTGAATTTACTCAACCAAGTCGACTGGTTCCACTAAACCAAGTAAACTGGTTCCACTAAACCAAGTAAACTGGTTCCACTAAACTAAGTCGACTGGTTCCACTAAACCAAGTAAACTGGTTCCACTAAACCAAGTAAACTGGTTCCACTAAACTAAGTCGACTGGTTCCACTAAACCAAGTCGACTGGTTCCACTAAACCAAGTCGACTGGTTCCACTAAACCAAGTAAACTGGTTCCACTAAACCAAGTCGACTGGTTCCACTAAACCAAGTCGACTGGTTCCACTAAACCAAGTAAACTGGTTCCACTAAACCAAGTCGACTGGTTCCACTAAACCAAGTCGACTGGTTCCACTAAACCAAGTAAACTGGTTCCCCTAAACCGAGTCGACTGGTTCCACTAAACCAAGTCGACTGGTTCCACTAAACCAAGTAAACTGGTTCCCCTAAACCGAGTCGACTGGTTCCACTAAACCAAGTCGACTGGTTCCACTAAACCAAGTAAACTGGTTCCCCTAAACCGAGTCGACTGGTTCCACTAAACCAAGTCGACTGGTTCCACTAAACCAAGTAAACTGGTTCCCCTAAACCGAGTCGACTGGTTCCACTAAACCAAGTCGACTGGTTCCACTAAACCAAGTAAACTGGTTCCCCTAAACCGAGTCGACTGGTTCCACTAAACCAAGTCGACT